CATTTAAAGCAGCAGCCAGCGAGGAAGCTTTTCTGCCTCAGTCATACTAAACGAATCCAGACAACACGGTGTACATCGACTGTACACACATTAACCCTGCCTGCTTACTACTGTGAATGCTTCGAGCAATTTGACGTCATTAGCTCAATGCTGGACTGAATTATCACCGTTTCCATCTTCAGTCTAACACGGCCTCTTCTCTGATGGCTGTGGAGAAGGGAACTGAATATTCTTTTACTAATCTTTGACGACCAGCATAGCGGAGCACTCGAAGGATGGTTCAGCATGTGTCTCCATCAAAACAACCAAGATTAGTGATTAAAACATCACTGTTGTACCCTGAGTGACTTAGTAATCGTTAGCCCCCCCCTGGATCGGGGGGGGGACACAGCTAGGTCAGTTAGTGAACTAGAACATCTGAATAATGATTATTCAGCCTGAATAATCACAGTATTAACAAAGATTCACATTTGTCCATCATATTAAATGTAAACAGAAAAGGGCAATGGTGAAAAAACCTGACTCTGCGGCAGCTTCAGGAGAGTTTGATTAAGTAACGTGATCATCGTTTTTTTACTTTTTATCCTGAAGGTCATGAACAAACTCTAAACCTTTTACATTTGTGAACAAAACTTGCTTCAGTGCAAAAGGAAATGTCAAAAATTCAAACTTGATAACTGGCTAATCTACATTTGCTGAAAAAAGAACAGCTACTGATTGATTTCTTACTTTCTAACGTTCAGACTAAGATGTCTGCTGACCACATGGCAATCGTGTAATACGTTTATAATGGACTGAAGCTGAATATGAGTCCTACGTTTATACCCTAATTTTCTATGTTTTAATGTAGCTTTGACCTCCTCAGAATTTGGCAAACATAAACACTCAACCCTGCCTCAGTGCTGGCAGAGTAGTTGAATCAAACTATTATCTGGCAATCCCACCTTTTCATTCGCAGTGGCTGTCATGCTGGCTAACAGCAGTGATGCCACAGCTGCTTCCACAGCAAGACTTTCTACTTTAGAGTTAGCCAGCAGCTGGGATGCAGGAGTATTGGTTGAGCTGATCATCTGGCATCTGTGCCTTATAAAAGTCTATTATTTGCCATGTTAACTACTAGAGGTGGGAATCACCATACATCCCACGATACGATATTATCACGATACTTAACGCACGATACGATATTATTGCGATTTTTTTTAAATATTT